GAAAAGGCTTTCTTTATTGAATTGCTTTGGTACTTTTGTCAGAAATGCCTTTAAACATATATGTGGGCCTATTGCGGATCTCTGATTTGTTCCTTTGATCAGTGTTTGTCCTTTTGCCAATATCACATTCTCTTGATTACTATAGCTTAATAGTAAGTCTTGAAGTAGTATGATGTCTCTCAACTTTATTTTCAAAGTTTGTTTTAGTTCTATTACCATACCATATAAATTTTAGAAGCAGCTTTTCTGTTATTGCAAAAAATTCTAGGAATTTGGTGGAGTTGGGGTACTCATCTGTAGTTGAATTTGTAAAAGAATAGACATTTCAAAACTACTAAGTCTTTAAATTCATTAATATACCTCTCCATTTATTTGTCATCTCTGATTTCTTCCATTGATTTTTTAAATAGAGAGTTTGTCTATATTTTGTTAGATTTGTACCTAAATATTTCCTTTTTTAAAATTTTGGATTTTTATTTTTCCCCTTGATTTTGTTTATTTCTTGGATTTTAGTTTAATGTATGTAAATAGAAGTCATTTTTCTAAATTTCAATTTTCAGTTATTCTTCACCATAGAAATAGATTTTTGTATATTGATCTTGTATTTTGTGACATTCTTAAATTCATGTATTCTAGTAATAGTATTGTAGATTAGAATTGCTACAGCTAAAATTATATTACCTGGAGATGGTTTCATTTCTTCTTTCCTAATTGTCTTTTGTATTTTTATTTTTCTTGTCTTACTGCACTGAATAAAATTTTATTTATATACTTATTCAAATAATATGCCATAAACTCCAGTACAACAGAATGCCTTGTTCCTGGTTTTACGGGTAAAACTTTCAGTCTTTCACTTAATACGATGTTAATTCTGAGGGTCGTTTAGATGGATTTTATCAGGTTGAGCAAGTTCCCTTCTGTTCCTAATTTGCTGAGGTTTTGTCCATGAATGGATGCTGAATTTTGCCAGAAACTTTTACTGTATCTTTTGGGATAATCATATAGATATCTCTTGATATGTGGAATCACATTGCTTTTTAACTATTGAATAAGTTTTATCTTCCAAAGATCAACTTAACTTGTTCATGATCTTTTTTCCCTTTTTATATATTGTTGAATTTTATTTAAAGATATTTTGTTAAGGGCTTTTGTGTGTCTATTCATGAGAGATACTGATCTGTAAGTCCTTTTTTTTTCTTTTTTAGAGAGGGAGAAAGTGGGAGGGGCAAAGGGAGAGGGAGAGAGAGAGAGAGAATCTTAAAAAGGCTCCATGCCCAGCTCAGAGTTTGACATGGGGCTAGGTCTCACAACCCTGAGATCACGACCCCCAGACAAAATCAAAAGTTGGATGCATCAAGGCTCATTAACTTGATTTGATTAATTTTCTAATTTAATTTGATTTATGTTTTCTCTAAGATTATATAGAAATGATATTATTCCTTAAACTTTGGAGGAATTTGCTAGGAAAACATCTGGCCTTCAGTATTTCTTTTACAGAAAGATTAAATTGTGAATTAACTTTATTAATAATCACAGATCTACTCAGATTGTTTGTTTCTTTTGGGTGAGTTTTGATAGTTTGTGGTTTTTGAATAATTTCTTCATTTGATGTAAGTTGTCAAATTTGTGTGTATAGAGTCACTCATAGTATTATTGCCTTATTTACTTTTTTTTAAAGATTTTATTTATTTGAGAGAGGGAGAGAGTGAGACAAAGGAGGAGTGGGGTTGAGGGGAGAAGGAGAAGCAGGCTCTCTGCTGAGCAGGGAGCCCAATTTGGGGACTCAGTCCCTGGACCCTGGAATCATAACCAGAGCTGAGGCCAGATGCTTAACCGACTGAGCCATTTGGTTTTCCACCTTACTTATTACTTTTAAAGCCTGAGACATCTGTAGTGATATCCCCGGTTTCATTCCTGGTATATGCTTTCTTTGTCCTGGTATGTATCTGATTTGTGCCTTCTAACTTTGTTATTTGGCACTTTTACAATTGTCAAATAATTAGTTTTTGGTTTCATGGCTTTCTTTCTATTTCTTGATTTTCAGTTTCATTTAATTTGTGCTCTTTATTATTTTTTTTCTTTCTGCTTGTTCTGGATTTATTTTGCTTCAGTGGTGCATTTGACACCTTTGTTTTATTCTAAGCATTTCTACAGTAATTTTCCCTCTAAGCATTGCTTTAGTTGAATTCCACAAATTTTGATAATGTGGTAACTTCATTTTCCTTCAAATCAGAATAATACCTTATTTGTCTTCAGGTTTCTTCTTTGACCCATGGATGATTTGGAAGTTTATAATTTGCTTTCTAAGAGTTTGAATATTTCTAATTAAATTCCCTTGTGTTCAGAGAGCATGCTTTGTCTATTTTCTATTCTTTTAGAATGAGCTTCTCAAATATGTAATTTATGTCTTTCACCATATTTGAGGTGTTTTTACCCATTATTTCTTCAAACATTTTTTTCTGCCCCCCACCCTTCCTTCTGTGACTTTAATGATGTGAATATTACATCTTTCCTTCTTGTCCCATAGCTCCTTCAGTACGCTCCGTTTTATTTTTCTCCTTTTTTCTTTTTTCTCTTCATTGTTCAAATTGCATGATTTCTGTTGATCTGTCTTCAAGTTCAGTCTGTCATCTCAAATGCTGTTATTTAGTCCTGCTAGTGCATTTTAAAATTTAGTTATTGAATCTTTGTAGTTTTAAATTTTGTATGTGTTTCCACTTTATGTATTGTTTCTTTGTGAGACTTTCTCTTTTCATTTCCTTCAAGACTTCTCTTCTTACTTTTGGAGAATTTTTGTAATAGCCCTTTTAGAATCTCTTTCAATGAATTCCAACCTCTGTCTTGTTTTGGCATTGGTGTTTGTTGATTGTCTTTTCTTGCGTGAATTGAGATTCTCCCTGTTGTTTGTAGGTTGAGTAATTTTGGATTATATCTTAGATCTTTGCATGGTTTGCTGTGAGACACTTAATTTTGTTTAAATGCTATGGAGAATATTGTGGTACTTGGGGTTTTTGTTTTTGTTTTTTGTTTTTATTTTAAAGCAGGTAAATACTCTGGTTGGGTTCAGACTATAAGTTCCAGCTGGCCAGCCACGTTTGGGTTATGGTCATAATGTCAGTTCTATTTCAAAGGTTTTGTGCCATGCTTGTCAGATCTGTTCTTAGTATACATCTTTCAGAGGCTAGATTGGGTCTGGGCAATGTTATTTCTCAGTCTTTAATATACTGTTTAGGATCAGATTCAAGCCAAGTGCTGCTGAGGTGTGAACCTAGAAATTTACATACAGCTTTCTGGAGTCACTTTCCTGTGCTGGTACTTCATGATCTCCCAGATATTTTTACCTGGGGCTCCCGTTTTTGTTCCTCCACCCTAAAAGCTGGTGTTTTATTTTTCCTGTTCTGCTGCTTGCTTTCCACAGTTATACCCATGTCCAAGGCAAAAGTGGTGTATACTTGTGTTGTGTCCCATTCTCTAGGGTTCCTGCTTTGCAATGGGCAGGAAGATGATGGAGATGTTTGGAAATAAGTCAGATTTTACAGTTCCTTTTATTCTCAAATATATAGTTAGATGTGGGATTGTCTTTATAGGTGAGGTCGTTTACGACAGAGATGAACTTTTTACTGAGATGAATCTTGTAAAATTTCTTTCTTTTTTCTTTTAAACATTTAAAGAGGCATTTTAAAAACATTTGTTATTCACTAGGACATTGCCTCCATTCTTATGTCAAATTCTTTGTCTTCATATAACAGCACAATAAAAATATATTTATTGTAGAAATTTGACAGATCCTTATTTTTTGCTGTCAATCAGTATTACCTATTGAACTTTACTAAATACACATTTGTAGACCCCATACCTAGAGATTCTGGTTCATTGGTTATACAGTAAATAAAAAAGAAAATGACCTACATGATTATGTCTTATACTTTAGCACTCTTGTTTTAATACAGGACATTTCTATGGTCTAAGAGATTTTCTCAGGATAGTTATGTCTGAGGAAGATTGTAATGGCAGTGATCTTGAAGCTTGTTGATTCAGTAGGTGTCCCAAGGCAGTTGGATACCATCTGAACAAACCAGGTGTCCGGCCACATTTGTGCTGCCTTGGTCAGGGGCTCAATCCCTCACCATTATTCCAGGCACATTCTTTACTGATTCATCTTTCTTGAAATTGTGAATTACTTAATATGTCATTTCTTAGTTGGTTATTCCTAACCAATACAGCAAGAGGTAGACCTTATTAATTCTTGTCATTTTCTTTATTGCATTTAAGGACAAGAAGTTTGATTTTTTTTCCAACTTCTGTTGAAGTATAGCGTACATCCAGTAAGGTACTTAAGGTATACCAATCTTAAGTGTGCAGCTTAAACTTTTCATATGTACCTACTCACATAACCACCATACAGTCAAGACATATCCAGCATCCTAGTAGGTTTCCTAATGCTCTTTCCCAGTCAATAGCCCCTTTCCCCTGAGTCAACCCCTGTTCTGATTTCTAACACCATAAATTAGTTTTTTCTGCTATCAGGCTTTGTATAAATATAGTCCTGCAATATGTATACTCTTGTCTAATACTTTTGATCAAATGACTTTTGTGGCCACTCCTTGTTGAGGTATTGTTTCTGACTTGGAAAACAACATACTCAAAACCGTATCTAAACCAAAGCACATATAATTTGACTTTCATTTTGCTTTTTGTAGTTAAGATAATCTTCAAATTTTATAGGAAAATTTCCATATTCTTTTTCCTACTCTAAAACTTTCAAGGGCTTTTTATTTCATCCACTCATGTAGTGTCTGTTATTTTATTATTCTTGCCCTAGAACTCTTCTTTCCCTCCTCCACATTGTCTTCTACCTCTGTGTAGGTATAAAAAGAAGATTTCTAAAATTTAATTTCTGTTCTTTGCCATGCTAGCGTTTGGTCGGGGTGAATTCAGGTTGAAGTGAGTGTCTGCAATTACTCTATTAATCTCATGTTTTCCTTCTCTTCTCTCTGTAGCATGATGGAAGTGGTTCGCTGCATGATATTCAGCTATCATTGCCATCCAGTCCAGAACCAGAAGATGGTGATCAAATATATAAGGTATAAATAGTAGTCATGCTAAATTTTTCAAAATTCTTTTTTATTACTAAAATTACAAAGCAGTAACCATTAAAACATTTAGTAGTAAATGTATCAAATCCTGAAGCTTTGCTGTGTTGAGTTTTAATCAGGTCTACTTTTAACTTTTGTTACCTTATGATGTTAAAGTGTTATCACTGTAGTATTTTAATTTGAATTTATTTTATCAGTTGGATTATTATTTGTCTCTATTCAGGATTCTTTTTCTTAAATCAATAAGTTATTACATTTTAAAATTATTTTTTATAATTATGAATAAGTTTTTAACTACAATCAAAATGATTAACAGGTACTTCTCATATAGAATCACAACACTGAAGATATAGACTGAAAATGAGATTAACTCATCTTCTTTCATGTTTAAAAATACAATTATAGGGATCCCTGGGTGGCGCCAGCGGTTTAGCGCCTGCCTTTGGCCCAGGGAGTGATCCTGGAGGCCCGGGATCGAATCCCACGTCGGGCTCCCAGTGCATGGGGCCTGCTTCTCCCTCTGCCTATGTCTCTGCCTCTCTCTCTCTCTCACTGTGTGCCTATCATAAATAAATAAAATTAAAAAAAATACAATTATAGAATATGGATGCATTTTAGTATTTGAAAGTGTATTTTTATAATTCTCATTTTTTGTTTATTTATTTTTAAAGATTTTATTTATTTATTCATGAGAGACCCAGAGAGAGAGGCAGAGCCAGGCAGCAGGAGATAGGCTCCCTGTAGGGAGCCCAATGCGGAACTCGATCCCAGGACCCTGGGATCACGACCTGAGGCAAAGGCAGACGCTCAGCTGCTGAGCTACTCAGGCACCCCTCATTTTTAGTTTAAAAAAGCTTTTTTTTTGGGGGGGGAAGTTATTTCTGAAGTACATGGAAGTATCCTTGATTTAATGTTTCCAAGTTAAAATTGATTCTTTTACATTCTATTTTCAGGGTTTGGTAGTCAACAAACAATCTTGAAGTACTGGTTGCTTACAATGACAAAACTGTATTTTTCACTTGTTATTTTTTAACATGTTGCATACTGGCTATACATCAGCTGGAATTCTATGCTGCTGCTTCATTCTGGGACCCAGGTTGAAGGATTAGCCCCTACCCTGGGACATGTTTTTGTAGCTTAGGGAGAAGATCATTGGCATAACCACATTTGGATTCTGCTTGCATGTTACATATTTCACTTCCAAATCAAGTCAAGTAGCCAACCCTGGCATTAGAGATCAGAGAAGCATGATTTTCTCATAGGATATGGGGTGACTTACTGGGAACAATATTGTCTATAAAACAACCAAAAAATCAAAAGAATATAGCATTAGTAGTCACGTCTGGTTTTGTAGTTTTGCTTTTTCAACATGTTATCTTATGTGTTCTTGCAAATTTCTTCCTGTCTCTGTGCTTCCATCCTGTTGTGAGTATAGTATTCTAAATCAGCAGATCTGCAGTAGGACAGGTCTTTAAAAAAAAAAAAAAAAACTTTTACATATATAGCGGTTGAGAACCATTGACTTAGGTGATCTCTGATCATCTCTCAATTTTAAGGTTTGTGACTGACATTTTCAAAGTAAAGTGGACTTTTTCTGCATTCTTTTGTGAAAAATTTCACATATAAAGAAATAATTTTTAAAGAAAAAAATTTAATTCCAACTTTTTTACACAACTAGTGTCAGTTTTTTTCAGTGTTCCTTTTAGTTTGTCTATATATTTAATGTTACGTGGTAGATATATCATTACACAATATTTATTTTTCCTTCTAAGTCATTCCTAGTTTTCCTTTTCGAAGGTGAGATGCTATAGCTGATTCTGCTCCAGTATACTAGACTCTCTTGCACATCAAATTCCCAGTTATGTACCCTTCTTGTCCAAGAGGGTTTAGCAGTGTAGTTTTAAATGATACAAATATGGTGACTTGTGTCATTGGAAATTTAGGGTCTAAAATCTCTACTGGACCTGCCATGTCTCTAATCTTTTTTATCTCAGGACAGCTCCCTCTCCCATTCCCCTGATGAGCTAGTCTCAATATTGACCACTCTCTTCAAGCCTCATTATTGGCCACTCTTCTCCATTTCTGCAGGTGGCCTTGTGTTCATCAAGCAAGATCTGGTACATGCCTTCTTGCCCTCTGACTTACCGGTATCTGTTATCATTCTCATTCACTTTGCTCCAGTTACAGGGCAAAAATAGCCACTATATACTATAGAAGACCATTCTTTGTTAGGTTCTTGACTGTCTTCTGCTGCTATTAAGACCTAACTACCTCCTCTTCTCTCATCTCTCTTCATTGTGCTTTCTCTACTTTCTCTTTATCCTCAGTTTATAAATTTCTGTATTTTACCTATCATAAACCAAATAAACCTTCCTTGACTCTCCTTAAACCTTTTTCCAGTTAACCTGGAAACCTGGAAAAATGAAAGCAGCTACTGGTTTTAATGCTATAGACATTTGGGGTGACTGTTGTCTTAAAAGCTTTATCCTTGATTTTTATGTCATTCTCTCTAAAATTCCTTATATTCCTCAACATTTTCCCATTTTCTCTTTTCTTTGTAGGTTCCTTCTCTTCTTTAGAATATAGATTTATATCTTTTATCTGGTTCTTTTTGAACTTTTTACTGTCATGATTTCCATATATGACATATCTTTTGATAACATATAAAATTTCTTCTTCATACTTAGTAATCCAGTTGCCCTGTGGACATTTCCACTGTGTCCCACCCACAGGTATCTCTAATAGTATATCTAAAACTCACAGATATTCCTCTTTGGATATATTTCTCTTCTTTTATTCTCTCTCTCTCTCTTTTTTTTTTTTTTCCAGTGACACAACTAATCACCATATTACCCTAGAAACAGAGGTAGGAAGCTAGAAATATATGTCTTACTCTTGACTGCCCCTTGTACTTTTTCTTTCACATGAAGAGAATCACCAAAATCTCCTAATTTTGATTCCTGCTCTTCTTCCTTCTTCTCCCTATTATCACTCTATTGGGTCAGGCTCCTTCTGTCATCTGGAGTATTACATCTTGTTAACAAGTTCCCTAGCCTAATTGTGTTGTCGTTGTCAAGTTTATCCTCCGAACAGCTGTCAAATCCATCTTCAATGCACTGGCACTCCCCTGGCTTATTAGGCCATGCTTGGTATTCATGGCTGTCTATGATTGGGCCCTTGCCTAACTTACTAACCACATTAGTACCTGTTCACTACAGCCTTTGTGCAGCGACATCACTGCTTGTAATTCTCCAAATATGGTATGCTAGGCTTGCCTTCATCTCTGTATTGTTGTATAATACAGAGGACTGTATAATCTCTGTATTGTAATACAACAATACAGAGCATCTCTGTATCTGAGAATCTCTTACTCTAAAATCCAAAGCCTGATACACTTCTGTGTCTTTGGAACTCATTCTCATCCTTTAAGGCTTCCCTGGAGTTACCCATTTCCTGATATGTTCTCCTTTGCCCATCATCATGTGTAAAATCCTTAGAGCAGTGCCTGTACTCTATACATGTTGGCTCTTAATATGTTATCACATTGTATTTTGATTTTATTTTCAAGTCTATTTCTGCCAACACTGGCAGAACCTAGTAGTGCCTGAATGATGGCTATGTTGTATTTCAGTAGCCCCCCCCCTTTGAGACAATTGTGAATTTGTAAACTTTTAGGTAATACCTTGTCATAGGTTTTTCCATACTTAGGATTGTTTCTTTGAGTGAGATAACTGAATCAGAGTGCAAGCATTTTTATGACTCTTCTGTGTATAGCCATGTGTTTCCCAGAAAGGCTAGTTTTGATGTCTGATAATGTACCATTCTGTCCTGCAATTTTGTTAATCACATTGAGTATTTCTCCCCCCAACTTAATACCCATAAAATAATACCTTAATTCTTGAATTTGTATTTCTTCAACAAGTCAGATACAACATTTTGCCAATTATCTGTATATTGGTGAGTACTGGTTTATTTGTCTTGGGGCCTAGAAAATGATCCTTTTATGTTTGAACAGGCTCTTCATATACTTGAGTATAAATCCTTTATCATATTTGCATAGGTTTTCACCAGCTTTTAGCTTTAATATTAACTGTATGGATGCTTTAAAATTTTATATAATCAAATATACTTCTTATATCTTAATAGCTTCATTTGCCACATAGCTTAAAAGTGTATCCTTCATAATCTGCAGTCTGTCTCTTTTTTTGGTCTTGATTTATAATTAAAAAAAGTTAAACTCTTTGAATTGGAATGGAAATCATTTTTTACTTATAATAAACAGTCTTGCTTCAGTTGACAGTATATACATAACAGCATTACAAAAATCTTTTCTTCCCCATTGTTTGTGATACTTATGTGATATACTAAAGCCTTTGTGAAATGTCTCTTTCTGATCTCATTAAAGAGACTATGAGATTTTGTGTTTGTTCCCAATGTTTTTGCAAGAGATGACATCCTTTGCTCAGTAACAACATATTATAATTATTTGCTTACATATTTTTCTCTCTGGAAATATATCATTCACAAATATATCCTAATTTCCTTGCTGGTGCTATTTCCTCAGTATATACTTCTGGATAATCTAACAGTAGTAAGTACAATGAACTAATTATAAGGTAATGATACTTTACACCTGGAAATGTAACGAGATTCCAGCTTAACTTGATAGTAGGTTTCCATTTAATACTATTAGGAATTTCTTATAAACTAAATTGACAGGGTATTTTGTCTTTGAGTAAGGCAGTTTTCAGGAAAGTAGCTCATGGAAAAAGAATCTCGCTGTTACCCTGTTTATCCTTTTGCTGATTACTGAGCCAGCTGTGAAATGGCTCTGTGCCTTTAATTATGCTGTTCCTTCTGTTTGTTGTGCCCTGCATTGTTTTTGATAGGCAACTCTCATACATCCCTTTAAATTTATCTGAAGTTACTGTTTTGTCTGTAATATATTTTACTATATGGCCTATGTCCCAGTGTCCTTATCTGTAAAAGGGGGGTATAATACTATCTACCTCAGGGTCTCAGGTTTGTACTCAGGATCAAAAGCTTAGATATCTAAAAGTACCTGATAAGTACTTAATGAATGTTAGCTGTATTGCTACTGTTACTCATTTTTTACATTTTTGAACTCTATTACACTATGAATTCTTTTTAAAGATTTTATTTATTTATTTATTTATTTGAGAGAGAGACAGAGTATGAATGGGGTGAGAGACAAAGGAAGAGGGACAAGCAGACTCCCTGCTGAGCATGGAGCCCCACAAAGAGCTGGATTCCAGGACCCTGAGATCATGACCTGAGCCGAAGTCAGACGCTTAACCAACTGAGCTACCCAGGCTCCCCTACACTATGAATTCTTAGAAGACCAAAATGGGTTTTTGTTTGTTTGTGTATAGGTGAATTGCTGGCATATTTAAGAAGAAATTTCCTCTTCACAAACCATCCATTATTCACTCTTCATCATTGATTTAATGCTTGTTAATTTTTTAAAATATTTCAGAATGAAGATTTATTAAATGAAGTAAAACAACTCAAAGAGGAAATAAAGAAAAAAGATGAAAAAATCCAACTATTAGAACATCAGCTTGTAAGTATTATAGTATAGTACATAAAAGTAGAGGCTTTTCAAACTGCACCATACATGTGTTTTGTTTTTTTTTTTTTGTTTTAAGGTCTAGCCAGAATTGAAATTTGACTTTATTTTTGCCTTTCAAAGTTGCACTATTGTATTTAGATTATATGAACTCTGAAAGTATGTGATTTACTTCAATCTAAATACTAAGTATCAAGTGTAAAGAAAGTCTTCATCAAACAACCATTTTTAGTAGCCTTCATTTGGAGATTTTGAAATTCACCAACTTATATTCATGTTATTGATGAAGGCCTGTCTTCCTTCATATATATTTAAAGAAATGAACTGGTGAATTGAGAACAGGGCGTTTATTCTCTCTGAAAGCAGAAATTAAACTGGATAGTAGGCTTAGATTTCTGTCAGTAAGACTGTCAGAGTGAGTGGTATTCTAAGAAAATACTTCCTCCACTTGGATATATTGCAGGGTCTCTCAGAGTCATGTTTGGGTCTTTTAATTTTATAATTGTTACAATTTCAAGTGTCAGTCTCATATAAAAAGAATATGTACAGCGTCTTGAACCTAATTATAATTTAGTTCGTAAAATCTGAAAGGCCAGGATAATAACATTATGGCATAAAAATGACAACAGGCCAAGGAAAATCTTTGTTGCAAGGCAAAAGCATGTTTTGGTATAACAATGGAATTCAGCAATATGAAATATTAATCTCACTTAGAATATAAAGGTTATTATGAACTCGGAGCCACTGAGGTCAGATTACAGAAATCAGGCTGATGAATAAATAATGACAGATGAATCAGATGTTATGTTTTAAGTATATGAAGAAAACTTACAAATCTGAGAAACGAATGAATGAATATTGCAAATTGAGGGCCTACCAAATATAAAATTAAAAAGGAAAATAATAAGACCTAACACTTGTATTTTAAAACTAAAATCGGAACCTATCTAGTTTTTAAGGAGAAGAAAAAAGCATCAGGAAATTAAGTAAGCTTCAGATTTTGCAAAAATGTATTACAGAGCACAAGAATTGTGTCTAGGACACTTCAGAAAAAGGTTATGCCCTTATATTTTATATCTAAACATATTTTTATTCATATACCAAGGTAAAATTTCAGACCTTTAATGTCTTGAAAACCATGCCATTCAGTTATCTTTGTAAAATTGCTTAATAATGCATTCCGAATACCTGAAGGAGGAACTTAAAAATAACTCAAGAATTGGGAGGTAAAGATTAAAATGCGTGGCTCAGTTGGTTGGGTGTCGGCCTTCACCTCAGATCATGATCCCAGGGCCCTGGTATTGAGTTCCACATTGGGCTCCCTGCTGGGGGTAGGGGGAAGCCTGCTTCTCTCTCTCCCTCTGTCTGCCACTCCCCCTGCTTGTGCTCACTCACTCTCTTTCTGTCAAATAAATAAATAAAATCTTAAAAATGAATGAATGAATGAATGAATGAATGAATGAAACCATTTTCAGGTAGGATAGATGGGCTAAACTTCCCAACCAGTAATGGGAGAAAACTTTTTGCTCCTTATTTTATCTTATGTAATTATATATCATTTGAATGTTGGACTTTTTTGAATTTATACATTTTATTTTCTGAAATGAAAAGTTTTTTTTTTAATTTTTAATTACTGTTAAATTCTTGAAAATGTTTAAGTAAAATGCAGGTTTGAGGAAGGAAATACGGAAAATCCTGAAGAAGTCAGAAGTACTGAAGTTTTTATTTTCTACAAATGGATTTTTAAAATTATTTTGATATACTTAAATAAATTATAAAATGTTTATGAAATGCTTTTAAGATAACTGTTAGGTTAGAATAATGAATCTTGCAAAAGATATTTAAAGAGACATAAAAAGTAGAAAAATACCAAGGATATCTGAAAACAGCAAAACCAAGGTGACAGATTAGATCAAATTTAAGAAATATAACAGTAAATGAAAATGGTCTTATCTCTCACAGTTTCATTGAGGTTTTAATGCAAAATCCATTAATTTTCTTTGTATATAAAGGAAATTTAGATCACGTAAAATGATATAATAATGCTGAACATAAAAAGGTTGAGTGAAACAGAATGAAATTATTCTCATCAAAATGCTGGGGTTGCACTAGAAAAAAAATTTAGGTTGGAAAAAAATCACGAAAAGAGCTCACTGTATATTGATAATATGATTAATAAGTAATGAAAATGTAAAGCTTTTTATATTATGTTTTAATAGTATTCTGTTAATATATTTCTTTAGAAAATAAGAACAGTTCATAGCTGAAGTATTACTGTCCTTAACCACTTATTAGTGAATCCTTAATGTCTTCTAATATCCTAACATCTTTAGGTTGCCCTAGTTTCAAAAATATCCTGTGCCTTTGTACATTACATCTGGTTACATCTCTTAAATCTCTTTTAATTTAGAACTGTTCTTTTTCCTTGTTGTTGTATTGACTTGTTGAAGAGACTGTACTGACTTGTTGAAGAGACTTACCTTGCAAATAATTTTTATAGATTGTAGAAATGTCTAAGAGAATCCTAAAGAAAGAAAAGTTGAAAGCATTACTTCTCAGCAAAAGGTTCTTGAAGTTCTCTGTATTTGCTATATTAAACCTAGAAATTATATTTATTTTAGAAGAGCTCATTACCTATCTTTAGTTTAGTAATGGAACTCTAGGAAGTCACTTGTTCAAATCAAGAGAATTTAGAAAGATACAAACCACTGTAGGTAGAGATCAGTTGCAACATTTTTCACATTATAAAAATTAAAATTGTCTATTTAAAATACTTTTTCTTTCCTCACATCTCTAAACTATTTTTTTAATAGCAAAACATCATCATAAATTAGAGGGCTTTGTTTTGACTTCAGTATTAATTAGCTGAATAACATTGGCAGTTTCTACCATTTTCCAGTGCTTTTCTTATAAAAAATGTGAAGGTTTTTGAAGCTGCGAAGATGGTGGAGTAAGAGGATCCTAAACTTAGCTTATCTCACAGGTGTACCTAGATAACACTCACATCAGTGCAAATAATACAGAAAATGAGCTGATGACAGGTGGAAGAAACTCCATAACTAAAGGTAGAGAGGAAGCCACATTGAAGAGGGTAGGGGGCAGCCCGGGTGGCTCAATGGTTTAGTGCCGCCTTCGGCCCAGGGCATGATCCTGGAGACCCGGGATCAAGTCCCACGTCGGGCTCTCTGCATGGAGCCTATTTCTTCCTCTGCCTGTGTCTCTGCCTCTCTCTCTGTCTTTCCCTCTCTCTGTGTCTCTCATGAATAAATAAATAAAATATTAAAAAAAAAAAAAGAGGATAGGAAGAGTGGAGATGTGGTGGGGAACAAAAGAGACTGCAGCCATCTGTGGAGAAGAGGGAGGCCCAGGCATGGAGAAGGGAGAGAAACACACTATCACACTGGGATGCCTGCTCAGGGAAGACAAATCCCCATAACATTTGGCTTTGAAAGCAAGAGGGACTGAATTTCATGAGTTCTTACAGGGAGACTTAAAGCCTGGAATTTTAAAAAATCTGTGGGCTTGGATCTGAGAGAGCCTGAAGGGTGAGAGGAAGTGGAGTCCCTGCCCTTCAAGAGATAGCATGATGACCCACAGAGATACAGCATAAAAGCAGCAGTTTGAAAAACACAACAAACAAAAGGGAGAGTAGTTTACTCATTTTGGAGCATGTCCTTGAGGGGCAAGGATTGCTGAGGGATTTCTGCAGGAACAGAGGAGATGGCGGTGCTATCTGCCTCCTCCACTCCCCCAGCATAAACACATGGCCACCTGTGTGAACCAGCCAAGTACTGATATTCACTAACTAACTTGCTAACACTAAGCCCTGCCCACCTCCCCATGCTTTGGGAGATCCATCCTTCCCAGTCATACTTATTTCAACCCCCAGTACTGCAGGTCCCCTACCCCAGAAGACCTATATAAACCTTGCCAACACTGTCTCCTGATCCAGGCATTTTGCAAGGGCCCATTGGCAGTAGGCCCTGTGGAAGCCCAAGGTGTTAAAATTGTGCACTGCACCCTTGCCAGGAACCAAGCACTGCCCACAACAGGCAAAGAGAACCTCTGCAGACAAAAGAAAAAGTGAACAGGACACAACACCAGGGCATACACAACACACATAGGAGAAACTCCACAGGTGAAATGCCTGGGGAACAGGGAGCACTGCACTGCAGGGCACTCTAGGACCTCTTCTTCATAAGAGCTTTATTTTTCAAGAGCAGGGGACACTGCTGAATTTCCTAACACTTAGAAACAGACACAGGGAGTTAGACAAAATGAGGAGACAGAGAAATATGTCCCAAATGAAAGAAAAGGACAAGACAACAATAAGAGACTTCTAAGGGAAACAGATATAAGTAATATGCCTGATAAAGAATTTAAAGTAATGATGATAAAGATACTCTCTGGACTTGATAAAAGAGTGGAAGACATCAGTGAGATCCTTAACAAAGAGATGAAAAAGAACCACAATCAGAAATAACACAACAAATGAAATAAAAAATACAACTAGATGAAATAAATAGCAGGCATAGAAGAAGCAGAGGAATGAATTAGTGGCCTGGAAGAGATTAATGGAAGATAATCAATTTGAGCAGGTGAGAGAAAAAAAAAATATGCAAAATGAGAATAGACTTCGAGAACTCAGAGACTCCATCAAGCATAATATATGGGGATCCCAGAAGAAGAGCGTAACATTCTTCTGAGGCAAGGGAAACAAAAGCAAAAATAAACTATTGGGATTACATCAAAATCAAAAGCTTTTGCATGGCAAAGGAAACAACCTACAAAACTAAATGACAGCCTACTGCAAGGGAGAAGATATTTGTGTGTGACATATTCAAGAAAGGGTCAGTATCCAAAATATACAAAGAACTTAAACACCAACACCAAAAAGACAATCTAATTTAAAAATGCACAGAAGACATGAATAAGCATTCCTCCAGTGAAGACCTACAGATGGCCAACAGACACATGAAATAATGCTCAGTATCATTTATCATCAGGGATAATCAAAGTCACAGTGAGATACCACCTCACACCTGTCAGAAGGGCTAACGTAAGAAAACTCAACAATAAGTGTTGGTGAGGATGTGGAGAAAAAGGAACCCCTGTACACTGTTGATGGGAATGCAAACCAGTGCAGCCACAGTGGAAGACAATATGGAAGTTCCTGAAAAACTTAAAAATAGAATTACCGTACAATCCAGTAATTACACTACTGAATATTTACTCAAAGAATACAATAATTTGAAGGGATATATGCACCCCTATGTTTGTTTCAGCATTATTTACAATAACCAAACTATAGAAGTAGCCCAAGTGTCCATCAAAAGATGAGGGGATAAAGAAAATATGGTTTATATATATGCAAGAGTGCGTATGTGTGTATGTGTATACACATAAATATGTATTCCATTAAGCACACACATATATGTATATGTATTAGAATATCATTCAGCCATAAAAAAGAATGAAATCTTGCCATTTGCAACAACATGGGTAGAGGTAGAGAGTATAATGCTAAATGAAACAAACCAGTTAGAAAAAGACAGATACCATAGGATTTCATTCATGTGTGGAATTTAAGAAAAAAACAAATAATAATGGGGGGAGGGGAAACAAACTGTTGAGAACAAACAGATGGTTACCAAAGGGGAGGTGGATGGGGAGGGTGAAATAGGTGAAGGGAATTAGGAGTGTGCTTGTCTTGATGAACACAGTAATGTATGGAATTGGTGGATCATTATGTTATACATCTTAAACTCATTTATCACTGAATGTTAACCACACTGGAATTTAAGAAAAAAAAAAAGGAAAAATGTGAAGGATTTTCTCAGTGATTTCAAAGTCCTTTTCTAGTTCTAGCTTTCTATGAATTTTACCTTTTTTTTTTTAAAAAAAAAAAAAGCACTCACCCCTAGCCTGTGTGTGCATGCAGACTTTCAGAAAAGTGACAATATAAAGTGTTGAATTCATATTTTGTGTGAAATGTGCACATATAAAATCAGATTGCAATGCTCCAAGAATTTAACTGGAAAGTATAGAAGCTCAGCTATTTAAACCTTATTTAAAATGCTGAGAGTACCCTTTTATTTTCCCCTCAATATACTACTTAAGTAATAGTTAATTTAGATACATTTTCTCATTGAGTCCTTCAAATAATCTGGTGAAATTACTTGTGTAGACTTTCCTTTATAGAGTCATAGAAAATGGAACTCAGCTTAATTAAGCAGGCTAACACATAGACAACAAAAAGGAAATTAATTCTGGAATTGCAGTACACAGGATAGAATACATAATGTGTTTGCATTAAGATAGATGTTTTAGGGCGGCTGGGTGTCTCAGTCGGTTAAGCATCTGCCTTCAGCTCAGGTCATGATCACAGGGTCTTGGGATCGAGTCTAGTATGAGGCTCCCTGCTTAGCTGGGAGTCTGCTCCTCCCTCTCCCCTTCTACCCTGCTTGTGATCTCTCTCTCTCTTTTTTTTCTCTCTCTCTCAAAATCTTAAAACAAAAAAAGAGGTAAATGTTTTATCTTTACATACCTCCCATATATATTAAAAGTTATATCCTATTACAGTGAATTCTAGGAGACTTTTTTTTTAAGATTTTGAGAGAGAGAGAGAATGAACAGGGCAAGGGGCAGAGGGAGAGAGAGAATCTCAAGCAGATTCTGTGCTGAGCACAGAGCCAGAGGTGAGATTCCATCTCAGGACCCTGAGATCATGATGTGAACCAAAACCAAGAGTCGGACGCTGAACCAACTGAGCCACCTAGGTGCCCCCATGACACAGACTTTTCAGTTGTCTGCTTCTTCAGTGAATTTTGTTTCAGTGACTATCCCATTACTTAGGAATGGGAAATATGTCTGTACTATAAGGAATGGAAAAATGTCTATACTACAGAGCTGTTTTTAATTAGATCTTTTATATATGGAAAAGGGAACAATCTGATTAAAATTAAGAAAAATTCTGAATTTTGGTAAATATTTTTAAACTAGACACATAGTTTTAATTTGATGCAGTAATCAAGAATTTGCTATGTGATGGGACGCCTGGGTGGCTCAGCAGTTGAGCGTCTGCCTTCAGCCCAGGGCATGATCCTAGAGTCCTGGGATCGAGTCCCGCATCAGGTTCCCTGCATGGAGCCTGCTTCTCCCTCTGCCTGTGTCTCTGCCTCTCTCTGTCTTTCATGAATAAATAAATAAAATATTTAAAAAAAAAAGAATTTGCTATGTGGGTTTTCCTACAAGAGAGTACGTATGTTTACCTCCAGTGAGGTTGTTTAATACATAAATGGTTATAGTCCAACTTCATACTAGGGAGAAATTCTCATTATCATTGTTTTCATTCTTTCTTAAAAATTTGATATTTATTTGAGAGACCAAAGTTCACACAATTAGGTACATTGCTTTGTGTTGTATAAATGACTAAATGAGTATGCTTTGAGTGAAACCATATGTAGAGGATTCATATGTGAACTGAAATGGTCAGATGGATCTTATCAAAAGGCAGTGGTCCTTCAAATTCTTTACTCCAATAAGGTTAACACATATTAAGGAGGCTTAAAAGCACTGCACATATAAATAGACAACCTAATTTGTGGACTGGTCGTATTTAATATCCAGTTTATTGCTGTCAAAAATAAATTTAAGAAACTGTGGTGTAGTGTCTATAGTACCATTATAGTTTAGAGAAATACATTGTATTTTGCAATTGTATTCTTTATAAACTGTATGTTGATATATATATATTTTACATTCATATACATAGTATTGTATATATTTATATACATAGGATCATAAATAATGTGTTTATGGACAATGAAGAGATTCCCAAAGTTCTTACTGTTCAAAATTTTAGCTTTACTGACTGACTCTAGAACCCAATCTCTGAATCAGATGGGAAACTACTGAATAGACCTGGCTGTTTGCCCTGTTTCTGTGGTGGTGGTCTTGTACCCTTTTGTACCCTTTGAGAGAGCCTCTGATTACTCTGTATGTAAATATATGTATTTGGAATTACACCGGTGTCAACATTTGTGATTTTATTCAGGCAACCCGGTGTAACTGCCACCAGAAATCTAAAGAGGAAAAGGGCACATATGCTGATAAATATACTCAAACACCCTGGAGAAGAATTCCCGTAAGTAACATATGTCCTTAACTTCTTCGCATGTCATTTACTCTTTCAATGTTTATTCCACTCTTATTCCTCTAACCTAATAATTTTGAATCTGCCATGACTGTAATTTTTTCAAGGTAAGTTGATTTTTCTTGTTTTAGGTGTTTATGTGCTTTCTAAAGCTTCTCTTGTTTGTCTTATATAAATGAATGTGCATTTAATAGCTTTTCTGTTCTGCACACTGTAGCCCATTTTATTTGAGTGTCTAGTCTCTCATTGCATGTATTTATGAGAGTAGTATTTCCCCATGCCCTAAAAGAAACAGAAATCCACAGAATGCAGTCTTCCCTTTTTAGCAGCATGACTCTGGAAATACGTGATGTAGCTTATTCTTTTGTTGTTGTTGAAACCTTTCAAATATATTCTACTACAATTACTCAAGTATAAAGGCATTAAGATATAGATAGTAAAGGTTATGTTTAAGGTATGATTTGGGAATGATTTCTTCTAAACAGTAGAAAGTAACCATGCTTTCTTATTTTTTGAAATATATTTAGTCTAAAATACACTGACCATAATTTAACCTGAGTTCTGAAACTTAGTTCAGGGTGTTCCTGAGCCAGAGAATCATCACATGGCCATTCAGTCATCATAATCCTGTTGTTGGGTGCCAACTAATAGACATTATTTGTTAAGAAAATGCCTAATAAGCCACTTTTGACTCTTGCCTTATTTTAGCAGTAGAATTCTAGTAACATAAATGAACAGGGAACCATAATGGTTAATGTAATCAGCAATCCAATTTTTTAAAACCTAACTATAGGCTTTAAAGTTTATTACTTTTTTTTTCATTTTCATCTAATAAGTAATTTTTTGTGTGTGCTCTGAGGTACAATGCTAATAATTTATTAATTATTAATTAATTAATAATTAATTTATTCAACAGAAGTTTGTAAGCTCCCATCTCAGTTACTAGGCTCTTGAAGTAGAAGTAGGAATTGGGGAAGAAAATACACAGTCCAATAAGGATTCCTTCTTCCACTAGCAGGTACTTATCAAAGGAACTGGTGATGTGATACAATTAAAGTGAAGTGAGTTCTGTTAGGTTCAAAAGATGAGGAAGGTCTAGTTGGAAGAATCAAGGAGCTTGTTGAAGAAGGTAAAGGTTGTGGTTGAATTCTAGAAAGTGAAATATACCGGTAGACAGAGATGATGTAATATTTCTTTAAAGGAGGTGGAAACTTACTGGTTTGAGGAAATTGCAAAATAAGACTACCTTTTGCTTCTAGATAGGAGTTTGGGCCTCCCCCATTTCTCCAGTTTCCTCACAGATATTTGTGCCTTCTGATACTGTTACTAAGTAGATTGGTGATTTCTTTAAGTGTGAGAAGTTCCATTTTCCCATCCTCATGGGTGTTTTTATACCATCTCTGGCTTCTTCAATCTTATTGTTCTGAAAACTGGATATTAATCAGACAAAGGTAAATGGTGGGAAACAACCCCAAGACATTGCTTAGTTTACTATAATTTTGGGTGAAATGAAGGTCCATTTTTCAGTCCAACACTCCTAACAAACCCAGACTTTAGGCTTCCTTGCCATCTACTACTTTAGAAATCACCTAGCTTAGGACTTTTGTTTTATACTTATTTAAGCTAACAAAAGGCAAGGAGATTAAGTGGGATATTAAAGTTTCATAATCAATCAGTGACTGAGATAATACTGTAGCTTCAGGCTGTTCACTGCTAGTTCAAGGTTCCTTCCCACAAAGGTACACTGAGGAGACTTGAAGGATTGAGAGAGGTTCTGCGATTGAAATGGGAGAAATATTCTTGACAAAAGGAACAGTACAAGTAAAGGTGATGATGAGGTAGAAAGATACATTTAGGCAATAGTAAGTACATGATTTCAACTGCAGCACAGTTGTATGTTTAGGGAAGTAGTTGAAGTTGGTGTTAAAGCCCATTTGAAAGATAGAATTAAAAATTTTATCCAGGAATTACTGAAAAAGTAATTTTACTGAGTTGTATTTAGGTAAAGAGGTAGTTACATATATTTATTTACTTAGTTAATGTAATATAATACATGATATTAAGACAATTATTAACTATTAACATTAAATATCGAGTTTATTTTTAAAGTTGATTTTTAGGTTTTTGGCACTTAAAATCCATTTGAAATAAAATTATTGTATCTTAGAAATCATTTTACAATAATAAAGATTTTCTTTTCTCTTCTAAAAAGTTATACTTGACTCTACATGTTCTTTTTTTAGCAGGAACTCAACATATTTAAAAAAGATATTGATGTTGGGTAGTGCAGTTGGGATTCTTCTTTGGCAACGAGTCTGTTAGGTAGTGATTTAGAGAATCAAAACATGTTGTATTTCAAAATCCCCAAGTTTAACGTAGGTGACATTTTTTTGATCTGGCTCATAAGAGTTTGGGAAGATTGAAAGTTATAGTCTGAGCCCTTGTTCTTTACCATTCCCTAAATATATTGAGAAATTTAAATGACACTCTCTGAGTTAGTTGAGGATCTGAAGTAAAATCTAAATCAGGTTTATGAGGCATATGTAGGCATGTCCTCAGAACATTTCCTGGCATCCGAGGAAGAAGTCTGTTTGTAGTAGAAAGCATTGAAAGATGGTGGAGAAAAGAGAGATACCATCTATAATACTTGTTGGCAGCCATTTAGGAGGTGGAAAGAAACATGAAAAAAAAATAGACATTTTTGGAAGAAATAAAGGAAAATAAAGGAAGTGGATTTCAGATTTAGGGAGGGAAAGAAAGAGGGAAAAGAGATAAGAATGGGCTATAGGAAATTATGGTACCGTCAGAGGAGAATGGAGAAGTCTTGCTTCTGGTGAAATATTCTCATCTGAGGGACAGAGTACCTGATAAAGTGGCAAGATGGGTAACCTGCAAAGAACAGCAGTGTGGAGCGTATCTAATCATTCACACAAAAGTAGTTGAAGTAAGACTAAGAATACTAGGAATATGGTGATTATGTGAGAAAAGATGGCGCTTATGTGAAAAGATTCATTTAAAATGTTTTAGATGCATTTCCAGTATTGTTTCAAAGCATTTAACATCAGTGTTTGAAGATTGCACATTAAGTAAATTCTAAATTTTCACAATATATACATTTAAAGCATTTGTTTAAACATCTTACTGAACTAGAGAAGCCAAAATACCAGAAAACCTTTCTAGACTCACACTATCAACCTTCTTATTATTTATCCCCTTGAATCTCCAAGAAGGGATTATAAGATGGACCCAAGGATCCACCTGACCTGTCACATAATGACTCACATGGATTACTCTTAAAATTGACTGTAGAAAGAAATGCTGTTATATCAATATCAGTGGGAAAGTTGTCTACCAGTTGAAATTCGGAATGTACACAATTAGATCTTTACTAGTTTTCTCTCGTATCTTAACTCACATTATTATATAGCAAAGAGGTGAGAAAACATGATTTTATATACATTTTTAAATGTTCTCTTAGAATTAGTTTCTAGTAGTGAATCAAAGATTTAATCCATTTTATGATGTATTTAATAGATATGTATATAACTAAAATAAGTTCAACAATTAGAATGTGGTCCACATTATCAGCAATTTTTGTGCTTAGAATTATGATCTAATGTCTCAGATTTACCGGATTATGCATATATCTCAAAATGTCATAGTTAAGTATGTTCCTATCATAACTATTTATAAAATAGAAAAAAAAATCAGAAAACCTTATCATAGACATATCACAGAAATCATGTCAACTGTACGTAATTTCCAAAGGAAAAGGAGTCTGCCAGGGGCAGCATGATGTATGTACTGTTAAAGGACTCTGCTCCCTCCCTTTTTTTTGCTTGCTTGGGAGATGAGACAAAATATTAAATGAAAGGAACATCATAACCCAAAGATTTGTCTTCAGATGACTTCTTCCTAAGTCCTTTTTCTTTTACACTATATGCCTTCCTGATTTGGGAGTGGGTAGCATTATTAGTTAATTTATGTGAGATTAACATCCTGATTTTATTCTTCAGTATTCCATTTTATCCCAATTGGAGAGGTGTCCTTTTACTACGCATATATATTCTGAAGGGAATTAAATGATTTCTTTGTGGAAGTGTTTATTTATATTCACTATTGTTTATATATAGCATATGCCACTAGAAGTATTTTAAGTGAAATATTCATATACTTTGGTGTTTAACCAAATAATTATAATGTGATTCATGTAATTATTTTTAAATTGTTAATGTCTAGTCAGTCATTTTTAGAAATGGGCCATTGAATATGGACTGTTTCAATGAGCTAAATGCTGACAGGAACCATCTGTGTGGCTGAGCTATCACATTCTAGCTGCATGTATTTATGACAACACAACAAGAATTCTGTTATATGTATATGACTATTTTATTTTAGAAGTTGAGTGACTTGTCTGGTCATAAATTTAAGGGTGTCTAAATTTGTGCCCTTCAGTGCCAAACCAAAGAGGGCATTTTTAAAGCTTTGTATAAAGTATCCATTGAAAGAAGCAAAGTTTGTATCTGCAGTGTAGCTAGAAAAAAAAGGATAGCACCAAAGTTTTCTACTACTGGGATCCATTTCATTTGTGTAATATAGAATTTAATTTATTGACTTGTACATCAAGGGTATAAATATAGAAAGATTTTACTCTTAGAAATTTAATGATAGCAGTCAGTGAGAAATGGATAATTCTATTAGCTTTCAAGAAGTAACTTGATCAAATCAGTCTTTCAGAAGAAATTAATCAGAAGTTAAGTGGAGATGTAGATTCAGAGTGTAGAGGGGACTTGAGTATATGAAAGACAAATCTTTAGTGATAGAGTTTCATCTACTAGGACAGCTCAGTATTGTTAGTGCTAAGTGCCACAGGCCCTTTGCAAGCAAGTAAGACCATTCCAGGAAGCTTCCTAAAGTCTTCCAGAAAAGGGAGAAATAAGCAAACTAATCATGAATCAGGAAGTTTTAACAATTCAGTGTTAAAAATCCCC